TTGTCTTTTTTTTTTTGTGTTTTTTATTTTTAAAAATTGCGTAAAAATAATATAAATCATGATAATTGACAACATAAAATATGCTTTCAAAAAAATACAAAAAATTCCACCGATTCTTGAAGTGATTCAATCATAAAAATACTATAAATCATGATAATTGACAACATAAAATATTTTTAAAATGTTGTATGTGGGTAGTCTTATTATGACTTAAATAGTGTCAAAGAAACTACAGGTTTGTGATAAAAAAAACGTATTCCTTTATGCACGCAAACAATCGCTTCAAAAACTACGTTATTAGCCCCAAAACATACCATTTATATTATTGGGCCCGTGCTATGCACGAGCACCATTATCTAGTATCTACATAAGGTACAACAACAATTCCATTTATTATAGTACATAAGCAATTAGTCAATTCTTTTTATTCTATTCAACTTTTTTTTTCCATTTGTACTTACCTTTCTCATATAACAAACAATAATGGTGGATGTGTAATATAAGTATAATATGTGTATGATCGTGTATAATTTATGTATACTGACTAAAGAAAATAAACAGTAAATCTGCTCAGCTATTCGCGTAAAGATCCCCACTTTACTTAAGAAAGCATCATGATCCATTCTAGAATAAAGAAGCATATTCTTCCTAATAAAAGTTAGGTGCAGTTGGAAAGTTTACCTAACTAGTAGAGAAAAAGCAGAGGGATTTCTTGGAGTATGACTAAAGCATGAATGATAATGTTAGATTGGTAGGGTAGTAACTCATCATTTAAAATCATCATACCAAATTGACAATATTTTCCAGTCACTATGTATCCGCACATCAGCTATTTGATCGGGATACTATTACATAGGTTCCTGACAGAATTCTTTAGATTTTAAGGCAAACTATCCGTTGATTATGTTCCATACGATACTTGAACTCATAAGAAAGCTAGAGAAAACTGAAATGAGTGAGCCTCATTTATAAACAGTAGAGAGTCCTCTTTGATTGATCTTTATTGACAACAAGACTCTTTCATATTACATCACACCTTAAAATCTGATACAAGATGGTAGAGCAACAATGCAAAAAGCAAAAAGACGTGAATGTCTTCTATTTTCTGTAGTTTCATTATAGTACTACTCAGTATGGATAGAAAAAAAAAAAAACTTAAAACATACCATTCAACGTGTCTCCGATGACATAGTTAACAAGCACTCATACTTCCAGATAAAATGTCTGATAACACTCATCATCTAACAGTTTATTTGAGTGATCGAAGACATCAAACGTGTGAATATTTAGACAAAGTGACCAAGGTACTCCTCCACTGTGATGTACTTAACATCTGGATAAAGTTCCGAGGCCTCAACCCCAAACGATGGCTCAATCTCAAAATTGGTTTGATCACCTTTCACGAATGTTGAGTGGTTGATTGCAAGTATGATATTAATTGGCATTGGAGATGCTGCAGCAGTATGCAATATACAATGTCAGGATTACCTATGTTAAATTGAAAGAAAGAGTCTCGACTAAAAATGAAATGATATAAAGATTACTGACTCTGGATGTCTTTGAGAATTTGCTCCTCTGGAACGTAGATTTTCTCGAGAGTTTTACCAATCAGTTTCTCCCATATAGCCACAAGCTCGTTGAACGATAAGGTGTTCTTGGGAGGCCTGATGTAAAGGGTCTTGTTCAACGTTCTCGGGTCATCAACAGCCTTAATGGAGTAGGTGCCAATGTCATGTTCTTCGTTGAATACAGCTGCAGACATACAGAACAAAGCAGAAAAAAAGTATACAAAAATGAGACATTTTGTCATGAACTTGTTCTGTTGGCACGCGTACCACATTCAAATCAATGGATTCGCCACATGAGGATTTTTTTTCAACTTACCCTTAACATTTCCATCTCCCGGAATGATGACTTTGTCTCGAGGAGGAGGAGTGGCTCCTGGCTGGACCAAAGTTGGTAAGAAATAACCAGCAAAACAGTTACATGAGACATAAGTATAGGGAATTTCTGCAGCCTCAATTGCTCTTCGGATTTGGACTTTCACAGCAAATGTAGACTTTGCTGGCTCCACAGCATTGATCTTATCGACATCCATACCAAACTCCGAAGGGAAGAATCTCTAAAAAAAAACTTAGCACAAGATAATTTAGCTTTGTGAACACATTTTCTTAATCATGTTCAGTTTCTCTAGTGAAATGTTCTTCTAAAATTGAAACATTTACGCAAAGTTGATGCATACTTCTGTCATACACTTGGCAATGCAGATCAAGATGTTCCACTAGACCACTTGGCCATGTTAACAGTTAGCAATCTTACTTATTTTATGCCTTTAATCAATGAGACACTATGTTACTTGGACTCTCCAAATATGTTGCTACACCTATGTTGGATCCTCCAAAAATACACTAGTTTTGGACGATCCAACACACAACCATCAATCAACATCATTGAAGAATCCGAGCAACACAGATTCAACATCCCTTTGATAGTCCAAATTCTCTAATTCAAATGTGATCTATAAATTCAAGAATTTTATCAAAAATAACTATAATCAAGATCCACATACTACTCCTTTGAGAATGGTATAAGTTAGAATCTAGTATTTCCATTATCCCCTTTGTCTCATGTTACACCCTTAACCAGAGGTCTCAAGTTCAAAGCCCCTTGTGAAAAACAAGAAGCAACTAACCTTAATATTGCCAGCTTCTTTGATAGCATCAATGATCTTAATTTGATCAGCCAATTGCATTGCACCAACAGTTGATATCACCACATCCACTTGTTTTATAGCCTTCAACAAACTCTCATGATCATACAAATCACCCTGTTCAAAAAAACAAGAAACTAAAATATACTTGCATATACAATTTATTAACAAATGCACCATATAATATACATACATTAATAATAGTGACACCCAAATTCTTGAAATTCTCAACAATTTTGCCCTTAACAGGATCAGAAACTGTGGTCTCTCTAACTAAAGCAAAAGTTGGGTGTCCAGATTTTGTACTAGCTTCAACTACAAATTTACCAATATACCCTGTTCCTCCAATGATCAGAATTTTGCTTTTATCAGCCATTTGATAAAAATAAAACTTAAAGATTTTGAGTTGAAATTAAAGAACTTTCTCAAGAATTTAGTTGTGTTGTTTTGTGTATAAAGTATGCTAAGGCAACATCATTTTATGCAATGAGGTACGGAGCTGTAATTACCAAAATGACCTTGCTGTTCCAACTAACTGTCTTTATGAATATTGTATTTGCTTTCTTTGAGGTGCATCAACCTACTAGACTGATACTCTTCGTCTATTTTTATTTGTCTACTATTTATAGTCAATAAAATTTAGTGGTATTTTGTATTTATAAATTTTAAATAGTAGATTCATCTCTGAGTGTATGTAACAAGGTTTGTGCTTTTGGTAGAGCATAAAGATGAACAAGAACTCTACAAACGTGACCAGTGGCCATTACAGATTGAGGTAAAATCCCGCTCTCTTGGATCAGATTACAAAACATTTTGTTTTTCTAGAAAAATAATTTAAGTTTGATCAGGAATTTGCAAAAAGAATTGTTCAATTCTTTTGAAGTAAAATATATTTTATCAACCACATCATGATTGTAATAATTTATTTCCTAATTATAACAATTACATAGCTATTGTAAATACAAATTACTATACTTCATTTCATATCTACAACTTATCATATTTCACTTTCATAATTGGTTATTCACTTATTGTTCAACATATATGAAACTATAGGTTAGGTAAAAGGTCATATGAAATTTGCCAATTTTGTAATGCATGACCAAATAGTGAATGAATATAGGGTGTAACTTAGAAATGAATAAAGAATAAAATAAGGATGATAATAATTGAATTGAGTGATGTTGTGAGAAATGGAAATATAGTTGAATATGATAGAGCACTAGGTACAGACCCTACAAAACGATGATCTCCACCTTCTTTTTTTTATGATAATAATTGAATTGAGTGGTGTTATGAGAAATGGAAATATAGGTGAATATGATTCATATGTAGAGCCCTAGGTACAAACCCCACAAAACCATGATCTCGACCTTTTTTATTTTTGTTTTTGGTTGAAAATGTGAGTGACTTGAGATGGAAATAAAAGAAGCTAATTAATTTGAATTAAAATTGGAAAGAGGCAAAAGAGGCATTAGTGAAAATTGAATAATGAATTTTTGGTAGCTAGTAATAGTTGAACTCATGAGACAGATTGCTCCAAACTTAAAGTTGACATTTATGTTGAGAATCAAATATCATGCATAGTTAAGGTGTGTAGCTGAGATTTCGTCCATAGTTGAAGGGGTACTTATGCCTTATCCCTAACAAATTGGGAAAATTGTATGAAATAGCAAACTATTAATTCAAATTAAATGTTTTAGTAATAGTTTATTTTAATTGTAATTCGCAGCAAACATCCTCTTTTTTTGCCATCTGATTCGGTATACAATTAGTCATTTTCAGTATACAATTAGCCATTTTATACATTTCGGTATAAAATGTGTTTGTGTTTGTATAAAGCGATTGAAAAGTGTATATACAAATACAAATACATATATTTTCGTCATATACACTTATAATTATACAAATACAAATCTTACTATACAAATTACAATGTATAAATGAATTTATATAAAACTGGACAATTTGTATAAAATTGGATATTTGTAGTGAATTATACAAATCAAAAGCCCCATAACAAACATAAAATTTGTTATGGAGCGCAATTATCCAAACTATGATTATAACATATTAATATGATTTTTATGTTTGTTATATGTGAAAATTGCTCATAAAAATTCAGGTTCAAGTGGGTTTCCAAGGAACATTTATTTATAATTAAAAAATTATCAAATATATAAAAACAAGTTCAGGTGAGGGTTCCAAGAAAGTGTTATTTATATTTTAAAAAGTATCAAATTTATAAAAAATATATAATTACAAAAGTTGAAGCGGAAACACATAAATTTTAAATTCTAAATTTATCGTAAAGATGAGCAAGAACTCTACAAACTTCATCTATACCATGCTTATCTGCATCAAATGCTATCCACCAAGGAGGATTCTCTGGTAATGGCACTTGAAATCTACGAGCTGCAGCATATATAACTCCACAAGCTACAATTTCACTCTTAAATCTTACACACAATGTTGTGCGCAAACTATCATTTGCAAGATTCCATGCTTCTTGTTTCAATTCTGGACATGTAATTTCAAGAATCGCAATATAAATCGATACAAATTTATGTGGATGTTCAACATGACAAATAAATCCAATCTCTCTCAAAACATGTATCTCTGTTTCGATGATTAGCTCTGTTTTCAAATCAATATGTTTCCATTCAACTAAGTTTTCTCTCTTGCATTCCATTCTGCGGAAAACGTTACATACATGTCTAGTTTTTCTTGGAATTTCTTCGAGTTTTGATGCAAGCCAAATACAAGTAGCAGCAACTATCTTCACGTTGTTAAAATTTGCGAATGATTTCTTGCAATAAAATCGATGAAATAATACTTGTCCAGTGGCCATTACAGATTGAGGTAATCTGAGCAAAATCCCGCTTTCTTGAATCAGATTACAACCATGAATTCGTAATGCTGTTTCTCTAAGTTCATCGATTCCATCTTTTCGAGAAGGCGAGTTTATAAGCTCCTCCTCTGTTACATAGAATGTGTCTATTGCCGTGTAAATCATTGTTGAAAACAAGAGAATGTGTCTATTGCCGTGTAAATCATTGTTGAAAACAAGAGACGTAGTATTTTTGTTATTCCATATTCACAATGGAACAGTAGGTAGGAGTACAACTCTGGTATTTTTGTACATTGAAACTATGTAATAAGGCATCTCTATTTATAATACTAATACTAATAACCAAAGTAAATTAGGACTAGAACTGACAAATTCTAGTTAAACATAAATGAGTAAATACCATAAATAACAAATCTTAAACTACTTAAGAATCCTACTCTTGATTTATTTCCTAAAACAATTATATAGAATACACTTTAATATAATAATTATTTTTAAAGAGTTTATATCTAAGTTACTTTGCGTAAGATATTTTACATGTAACTTTTCTAGCCATCCAACTTGGTGACCAAGTATCACATTTACTTGATGCGAAAGTTAGCCACTAATCTAATCTCTATTACTTTTGCTAAATTTTTGACTTGTTTGACTTTTTTGAAATATTTCACGTTGTTGAAATAGTTTTTTTAGTGCAGTGTTCAACATATCTTGAGTATTATTTATGTATTAACATAAAATATTATTATAATAGTATTTATTTAAAATTTCATATTATTATTTTGATAATTATATCATATTTTACCCTTATTTTCCGACACACTTAGCCTCCTTGTTCGAATAGAACTAAAATAATACTAATTGATTCTCTGTCTTAGTAGGATTACAATAATTGTTTTCATGGATATGAATATAATAATTATTACTCCCTCCGTCCTTAATTACTTGTTCACATTTCCTTTTTTAGTTATTCTTAATTACTTGTCCATTTTGACAAATTAAGGACAATTTTTGTTTACATATTATACCCTCAATTTTACTTTGAAAAAGGTAGAACTTCTTGAAAATCTCAAGTTTTTAATTTATCCACTTCATAATTAATGGGGGTAAAATGGTAAACTCACTATGTCAATTATTGTACAGAATGGCAAACTAATAATGTTAATTAAATGCACTAACTACCGTTTCTATTATTTCCTTTAATAAGCAAAATCTCGGTCACTTTGCTATTATAGGGCCCCACCGATTTGTATAATTTATTAAAAAAATAAAAGAAATGTTTTTCCTTTTCCCTTTCTTTTATACAATCTCTTCTCCTATTTCCTTCAAATTCTCCCAAATCTTCTCCCCAAATACAATTTCAAATTACAAATTTCTCCAACACGTCCTCGTCTCGTTTTCAAAAGAGAAACATTACTTCAAAAATTTCAGGTACCGCCAAAACTCATCTCATTCTATTAATTTTTGTTAATTTTTTTCAATTTTTTCAATTTAAATGTATATGTATATATAACTTATTTTTTTCAGTCATTTACTGTATAATCATTATTTTTTACATTTTTTTTGTTGATTCATGTCTTATACTGTTTGCTTATACAATTATGGTTGTATAAATGTATAATATTAGTAGTTATTGTATAATGTTCCTTTAAACATACACATTTGCTCACACTTATACACTTATTTCTGGGTCAAGTAAAAAAAGGAAAGATAAAACTGACATTTATACTGATCACAATGATAAAACTGAAGTTGTTGTTTGTGGGTCACTGGACTGTATAATTATGTGGGTCATTGGACTGTATAATCATTATTTTTATATTTTTTGTGTTGATTCATGTCTTCTACTGTTTGCTTATACAATTGTGGTTGTATAAATGTATAATATTAGTAGATATTGTATAATGTTCCTTTAAAGATACATATTTGCTCACACTTATACACTTGTGTCTATTTTAATATATTTTAATATGTGAATCAACATTGGCGTTTTGCTTTCTTTAACCTTATACTCAATTTTTAGCTTAATCACATTTGTATCAACACTGAGTTGCATTGCAATAACATTATACAACTCCTTATACGATGAACTTTCTTTAAAAATCACCCCCTCAATTGTATAATCAACGTAACAATTGTCATTGTCCCATCTACTGGAATGCATAACCAAAATAGCTAATGAAGTCATTTTCAAAAATTTTGTATAAAAAAATAAGTTATATATACATATACATTTATACGATTAAGAATTTCAACAACAAACAGAACATATATTTATACAAATTCTAGGAACTTCAGTTATTCACATATATACATATTATCATTATATACTCATATAAACGTTTATATACACATTCTGCATATACATTTATATATAAACAATTACATACACAAATTAAATTAGCATCCCTTTTTATTTATTTTTTAAAATAATCAAAATGTATTTAAAAAAAAAAAGACTGACTAGCGAATATACAGAAAGGCACATCCGTAGCAAACTAAAATTTTGCTACGGACTGCAATTTTATAAAGTTTGCTATAGGATACAATTAGCAATTTTTAATTTGCTATACATAAAAGAAATTCTTTTTTTAATAGGTGTGCCAATTCAAAAGTGGATAAGTAATTAGGAACAGAGGGAGTATATGTTTCCCGTCACATGCATGGTGATTATAATAATTAATTTCTCTAATTATTACAATAATTCAATGTACTGTATTTACTTCATTTCATAAATACAATTTATCATATTTCACTTTCATTAGTAGTTGTTAATTCACTTATTGTTCAACATATATGAAACTATAGGTTAGGTAAAAGGTCATATATGGAATTTGCCAATTTTGTAATGCATGACCAAATAGTGAATGATATAGGGTGTAACTTAGAAATGAATGAAGCCTTAGATAAGAGGTAAACCATACAGAAAAGGTAATTATCTCTTAATTTTTAAAATTAAATAAATATTATTAGATAATTATTTATAATATAGTGGACAAATAAATATGACGAGATTTAAGGTAGGTTATTGAAATTGAGTGATGTTATGGGAAATGGAAATATATGTTAGTATATGGTCCACATGTAGAGCACTATGTCATGTCCCGCCACTATCAGAGCCAAATTTTGCAGCAAAGAAGGCGTAGAGGTTTCTAGAGTCAAGTAGAGAACTCTAGAATGCCTTAGAAATTTCAAGAAGGCCTTGCAGACTTCTAGGCTATGAAGAATTCTTTAGAAAAGGGGCCAATGTGTAAATACTCTAGGGACTTATCATGTAAATATTAATTGCACTTTAGTCCTTAGGAAGTAGTATAAATAGAGGTGTCACTCATTTGCAAAGGCACCACTCAAGTGTAAAGCATTCTCCAAAGCAATACAAAAGCCTTCTTCCAAAAACTCTCTCTTTGTTCTATCTAAGTCTTTCCTTCAGCATTCTCTTAGCGATCTAAGTCTTAAAGGCTTCCTTGAGTTTACAAGATCTTGAAAGAGTAGTGAGTAAATTGTCAAGGGCCACACGGAACTTTAGCCAACACTCTAAGTCCGTGACAACGTGGTATCAGAGCGAAGGTTTGCACTAAGGGAATGACAACCGAAGGGGACGTAAACGCCGCTAGCACAACCAACATCCGTCCGGATGGAGGAAAGAAGTCCTGAAAGGGAAAGAAGCACCAAAAGAGTCCTGAGGAAATGTTGCTGGATCCTACACCAAGCGAGGCGCTAAAATCTCATCCACCCTCGACCACCGAGGCTAGTGACGATGAACACAGCGAAGGGTCCATCGACGTCACCGCAGGAGAAGAGTGGGTCTCAAGGGTTGAAGTGGCCAGGCAGGCCGTGGAGATATTAGGCCGGTGCATGAACGTGGCCGATAGCAAATTCAAGACTCTTGAAGACTTCACTCTTGAGGAGACCGAAAACATCCGTAAGGAGTTGGAGGGACGTCAGCGGGCCGAGTTTGAGATGAAGGAGGCCATCACTTCCTTGGAGTGTCGACTCATGGAGGCGTTGAACATAATTGAAACCATGAAGGCCGAAATGAGGACACTCAAGGAAGACATGGAAGCTGGAGGATCGGCATCACCCGACCGTGACAGGGAGGCCAGGGTCGAGGCTCCCAAGCCACCTATGTTTAAAGGCATCCGCGATGCTCAAGAGGTGGAGAATTTCTTATGGCACTTGGAAAATTACTTCAAGTGTAGCCGGATGAAGAGTGACGAGACCAAGTTCAACACTGCCGTGTTGTATGTTTCAGAGATGGCCATGCTGTGGTGGAGGCGCAAAGAAGCCGAGATAGGGAAGGGGACGTGCACCATCAACACGTGGGAGCAATTTCGCGAAGAGTTCAAGAAAGCCTTCTTCCCTAATAACGTCATATATAAGGTTAAGCGCAAGTTCAGGGAACTGAAGCAAACATGAAGCATTCGGGCGTACGTGAAAGAGTTCACAACTCTAACGCTTCAGATTCCCAACCTCACGGACGAAGACATGTTGTTCCACTTCATGGACGGGTTGTAGAATTGGGCAAAGACGGAGCTGGAACGGAGACAGGTCAAGACCATAGACGAAGCCATCACACAGGCAGAGTCTTTAACAGACTTTAAGCATGATCGGCATGACAAGGCAAAGGGCAAGGATGCAAGGAGCAGTCATGCCAAAGGTGGGGGAGACCGTAGCCGAGGCAAGGAGCAGCAGGCACACCCCAAGAAGCACGACCCCCACAAACCAGATAGCAGACGGTTCGTGCGCCAGAACTACACGGAGAAGAAGGCGCAGACCACCAAGGGAGATGGTTGCTACATATGCGGTGGACCACACGGCTATGCCAGGTGCCCGGAGATGAAGAACCTTGGTGCCATCCTACGCGAACGGAAGGAAAAGGACGCACATGAGCAAGGGCAAGACGCGGGCACGACGCAGTTGGGCATGGTTGGACTATGCGGGGCGATAGCCAAGCAGACGGAGAAGTCAGGAGACTTCAGCACGCAGTATGTAGACATCTCCATCAATGGACGTACAGCTCGTGCCATGGTGGACACCGGGGCAGAAGCAAACATCATGACCAAAACGGCGGCAGAGAGGTTAGGGCTGAACTATGTTCCAAGCAACACCCGCCTCAAGACGGTCAACGCACCACCGACCCCGTGTGCGGAATCGCCCAAGGAGTGAGC